TATAGCAAACAGATGGCGCAAGATGATTGTATTAAAATAGTAGAAAAATCATATTCATTTTTTCAAAGTATTTCAATGTATTAGTAGAAAATAAATTTTATTTGTTGTGTGTTAAAAATAATTTATATTCTCGAACGCAATTGATATGAAACTAATACGATTGAATTTTGATGAATACTGTATCTATTGATATATTAATACAGACTGAAACACATTGAGATCAAGAACGATAATCTCGAATTTCGCCATATATGTAATCATAACAAAACAGAGGCATTTGATATACCCATAGATGATTCTCACGGACGCTTGTTATGATTTATTATATATTGTATATAACTGACGTTCGATGATAAATCAGTTTGATAATCGTGCTTTCAAAATTTTCAGTTTTATATGATTTCTAATTACTAAAATATAGAAAATTGACTTGAATTAAATTCGGCATTATTTATTTATAATAGATATGTAATTAACTCAACAATCCACTTTAACATCGATTATAATTTTCAACTTTGTCTAATACATATCACAGCAGATGTTTTTTTATGCGATTGTCAAGTAGGGGTGGACTAGCACAGTCACCGTTAGTCTTTGTCTGGGTACTGGAAGAGAAAATACTAGTAACTACCAGTGCTTGCACTATTTTTTTCCAAGGATAATGAGATACCGTGACTTTCTGGTTACGTTACTATCCACCAGTTCAATTTTATCTACAGTAGGTTGAATTATAATATAGAAAAAGAAATTAAAGATAGCTTTCATATTGTTTGAAGATTAAATGTTTATATATTTTTTTTAAAAAGAAAAAAAAATAGAAAGCATAATTGTTGAGTATTATATGCATATATAGTCTAATGTTAATGAGCAGTTAATGTTGATGTAATTGGTGGTAATTGCCCAGATGTTGGTCGAGATCGATTACCATTAGCTGAAGCACTACGACTGTTATTATTTTCAACACGAGTAATTTGATCATTAAGTCGGTGAATTTCATGACGTTGATGTTGAATTAAATTTTCCAATTCATTTTGTTTTTCGTTAACAATATGATTATTTTGTTGTGTATTTAATGCGTGAACAATTTCTTCAGTTGTACGTGCTGCTGTTTTACGACTTATACCCATAGCTGTTTGTAAATCTTGTAATTTAACACGAGATGCTTTTAATTCACGTCTTAAATCATTGATTTCTTTGATTAATGTAACATTTTCCTTGTTGATTAAATAACAAAATATAATAGAAGAAGAAAAAAAGTTTTAAAATAAATATACCTGCATTATACGTATATTTTCTGTTTTATGTCGTTCAGAATCTTTATCAACTTTAGCCTAAAATAAAAAGAATTGAATTATGAAAAGAAAAACAAATCAATAAGAAATTACTTTAAGACTTCGAACTGTTCGTTCAAGATGATCACGTTGTCGTGCATATTCTTTTGTTATATCTTGATCAATACTTGCATCTTCAGTCTGTTTAGTAATAAAAAAAATATTAACAAATATTTAATTTAAAATAATTGTTATCAGAAAAAATAATACTAATAATATCACTATTCTTCTTTCTCTACAATTTATGAAATTCACATCAATTTTCGAAGATCATGTGTAAGTTTCCCAGCTGCTCTCCTCCCATTAAAGACCCTAGCAACCGGCGCCAAAGGCCATTCACTACAAATCAAGGCAGCCGCTCGTATTGAGCCATTTCAAACGCTATTGCATAGCAAATGCTGTATAGCATCTGTGAAGGGGTCTCAATGAACTGTGCTATGTATGGCGTCTAGGCCTGGATTTCAGATGAAAACATCGAAATTGAAGTACTCAAAAACATGTATATATAGAACTAGAAGAAATCTGGTTAAATTCATTAATTTACTTACCGCATCTTCCCGAACATATTGAGCATAAATATCTGCGACACGTTGTGCTAATAATTTTGGTTCTGTAATGAAAGCTGAACAATTATGTATATCTGTTTTAATACGTTTCAGTGCTAATTCGGAATCGCGTTTCTATAAAATACAAGAAAAATTCTACAAAAATAAAAAAAATTTAAACAAATAAACCATTTGTTTTTCTTGTCGTAAAGATAATGATGATGCATTTAATTTTGCACGTAATTCTTCACTCTTTAATTTTTCTTCATCATTACTTTTACTTAATCGTTCAAGTTCAGCTTCCATCTAGACAGAAAAAAATTTTTACTCGATATTTAAGAATATTATATATATGAGTCACTGCACGTAAGCCACGACCGAAGTTGTGCCATGGGGGTCCT